TTAAGCAATCGCTGGTATCCTCCTTATTAGTGCTTGTTTTGTGTTTGCCTTCTTGACATCAAAATGACGCGTCTATTGAGTCGCTACGAGTAAGGGAACATTGTTGTTATGATCTCAATCTCCATTCTCCACACACAGCATTTTCAAGCCTACTTGGAAGAAGACCAAAGATGTAGGCCCACGAAAAGGAGTCTTTCATAGTAATTGTTTTTGTGTTGTTTTTCCACAAAATAAATATTTAAATAAAAGAATGGGGATTAGAAAGTGCATGATATTTCTCTAATAAAACAAAAAAAATCATGAATTAAACTGAATAATATGCACAACTGGGTTGCCTAGTGAGAAGCCAGCATGGAGAAGCTATTTCCTCCCTCTTTTTCATCTTGAGTCATCCGCCGCCACCTCCTTACATTCTCGCATCTGTGGTCTTTTCCCTCCAGTCTCTATATGTAGATGGTGATACATTGAGATGACCTGTATGCTACTTGGAAAAACTTAATACACGTAAAATACCAGTTGATATTATTGAGACAGTTCAAATAATCACCTCTGACTAGATTCCTATCTCTTGTTACATTCTTGTTGGTTGCAGCTTAATTCTTGTTTAGGATAAATCTGTTGCAGGGCTGAAAAATCTGTATTAAACTGTCAATACAGATTACCCACCACCACCTGTGAATAGGTAGTTCCATAGTTGAGTTCAAAAATCGTGCTGCATGTAGTTATCTTCATATTCTAAGATCCTAATTTTTTTTCCAGATGCTGAAACGGACTTCAAACTTCACAAAGTTTGGACTTCAAATTAGATGATTATCTAGTTGGAGATTGGGCAAGGTTTCTCAATCAGTCCCCTTCTGCTTTTAGTTTTTATAAAATTCTAGTAGTTATTTTCCTATCCAATGATGAAGATTCCTTGATGTGTTTAACCGATAAATGCATTTATGATAAACTTGGATAGTAAGTAGGATTCTAGAAGGAAATTGCTTGTTAAAGGAGGTAGTATCAGGTATGAATAATGCATGAAAATTTCAACAGTGCACTTCATTTGCACGGATGGTCCTGTCCTGATTGAGAAGGTGTATAATGTACTAGTTTGTTATCCATAAATGCAGATTGTAATTACTGATTTTAAGCCCAAAGAAATCTGAAATTATGAAGTTAATTGAAAGTATCCCAGTTATGAGGAATGATGGAATTGCCCTTTGAGTGTCGTATTCTATAAATCTTCTAAATAAGGATCTGCTAGCACTTTTTTTGTTTGTCATGACTCCGTATGATTGAGTTGAGGTGCCCAAGGTCAATGATCGGGAATTGACAAAATTGCACTTAAGGGCAAGATAACTGAAATAACCTTTTTATGGTAAATGGATGAATAAAAAAACCAAGCTCTGAATAAAAGGGGTATAAACCAAATTATATAGGAAACCAGAATTAAAAGTGCTGTCACATAAGAGAGGAGAGATTAACAACAACAAAATTGTGTAGTCTAAAACTACTTACCATTTTTGACAAAAACTGCAACAAAGCTGCAAAATGGTGTGTGCATGATAGATGTCGATAACGCATGAATATAAGGAATGCATGACTCAGGAAAATTCTAGCATTTTACAGCCAAATAGCATGCCACTTGACGAATTAGGAAATCCTTAAATTATTGAAGGTTTCTTGGAGTTGATGGAACCGAAACCATGAAGAATGATGTGCTGCCATGAGTGACATCCACTTTGCCACCTCAAGAGGTCAAATATAGAATATCAACAAGTCCATAGAATACCTTATGAGCATAGGCGGTAATATGTACCTAGTTGGTGGTTCATGGTTGTGGTTCAACTCTTCTCTGATTTTAAAATTCTCTGCAGGCATTCTTCTTAACCTGCATTCGTCTTTAAGAAATAAAAAGTAAGAAAGGAAGGAGAAAGAAAATTATACTAGATTTTCAGGTTTCACAGATGTTAGCTATGTGTTTCTCTCTAGTGCTACGAAGGGGTTGTATATGAGTTGCTTCTTCCATAGTGTTTTTTTTTTGTTGCTTTCAGACGCTTTATTCTAACAAAATGACTAGAATATGATTGAGGATTCATTCGCAGAGGAAAAAGAAAGAAAGAAAGAACGCATTGGTGGTTTTTGCGTCGCTAGCATAATGCAACTTTGGAATCTTAGTGGTTTTTGCGTTGCTAGCATAATGCAACTTTGGAATCTTATCTAGCTTCTATATTGATGGACGCATATATGTGAACAGGGACAGACATCAACCGGAGACAAATTCTAAGAAAATGCACATGGTAAATTTATGGAAACACTTGAAGGTCATTTTCTGACAATGCATGGCTTCATGATAGAAGTCTCCTTATTACAACATTTAGTTCTATCTAAAGATGGATTGGGACAATTAGGGGGGTTAAAGGTGGAGATTCAGTACATTATGTTGTAATATGTGTAGAGAAATAGGGAAGGCAAAGATCTTATTCATTTGACCCTAACCTCTCTTAAATAGAGATTAGGAGGATAATACAAAATAGGTATGAGATGAAATCATATTCAATCACATCTCTTAATATCTCAATAATATTTTATAATATAGCCTAAATCTAAATACTAATAATATCTAACATTTTGCTCACTTTTGGCATGCAAGTTTTCTATGTGTGAGGTTGACACTAGGTGGGAAGAGGGGGAGAAAAATTACACTGCTTCACTAAAGGTCCATCAGCTTTGAGATTAGGACATAGTTATTCAATATTGGAATAGTTTGGGAAAAAGATAGTGTGTTTTGATTTGGGGTTCCGGATAGAAACATTAGGTTTTTTAGTGTGCATCTCAACAATGAGATCTCCCTTTCTTTTATAGAGACTTTTCAGTAACCATCTCCACCCCAAACCATATCAGCCTCAATGTTTTCTATACCTAATTATGAATCCCTCTTCTACAGATATTAAGGAGGTTATGCTAACAACCCAATAATATCTAAAGAATATACCTTGGTGGTTTGGTCAATAATAGACCGGATCAAATTAACATCTCCCACTTGATCAAATTAACCAAGTGAAATGCCTCCCACTATCCATAAGATCAAATGTCTCTTTTTATCATTACTCCCACTATCCGTAAAGAATAACTTTTATTTTATTATTCATGAAATTTTACTTGAACTTATTTATTCCTAAGTCCTATCAAACTTACATTTTTAATAAATGATTCTGTTGATATTTCTTTTATCAAAGAATTAGCAATCATAATTGTAGTAGGGATATAAATCACTTTAACTTCTCTTTTTTCTACAATATCTCGAATATAGTAATACTGGATCTTAATATCTTTTCCTTTGGAGCTATTCGCGCCACTGTTGATCAGGCTAATAGTTGCCCGATTATCACAAGAAATATTAATAGGTCCTAACAAATTAAGATCTAAATCAATCAGAAACTGTCTTATCCAGACAGTACGTGTAGTTGTCATACTGCAAGCTATATATTCAGCTTCTTATTTGGATCTAACAAGCCATTGTTTCTTACTACTCTAAGAAACAGCTCCACTAAAGATGAACAAGTATCTTGAAGTGGATTTTTCATCATCTTTCATCATCTTTATGACCTCTGAAATCAGCATCGGACTAACCGAGGAGATCAAGCGAATTGGTTTGATAAACCAATCTATGAATCAATATACCTCTGATATACTTCATAATCATTTTAACAACTTCGTAATGTGCTGGTCCTGAATTACTTTGAATTGACTAACTAGATTTACAGCATAAGCTAAATCAGGTATAGTGCACAACATTGCATGCATCAAGCTCCCAATTTCTTGAGCTTAAAGAACATTTAATGGCTTTTGCCCCTCTTCAGGGCTTTGCTCTTTACAAATCTCTTTTCCATGACCAATGAAGTTGAATTCTCCATTCCAAACCTTTTGAGAACTAATCTTAAATATTTTTCTGGTTTAAACTTAGCATTCTAAACTTTCTATCTCGAATTATTTGAAATTTCAAGAATATATTATGCATTTTCCATGTCTTTCATCTCAAACTTTTCGCTGAGATTTACATTAGTTTTATTCAACATTTTCATGTCATTTCTAACGAGCAATATATCATCCACATATAAGGATGATATAGTAAAATTTCTCCCACTTTTCAAAATATATACACAATTATCTAATTTATTTTAAATAAAATTAAGTTTGGTGACTATATCGTGAAATTTGAGATACCAATGTCTAGAAGACCCTTTTAAACCGTATAGAGATTTTATTAATTTGTAAACTTTATTTTCCCGTCCTTTTACTTGAAAACATTCAGGTTGTTACATATATATAATTTCCTTCAACTTTTCGTTAATAAAGTTTTTTAACAGCCATTTAGAATAACTGAAAATCAAGATGTGCAATGATAGCTAAAATAATTCTAATGGATGCAAATTTATGTTCAGGAGAATACGCCTCATGAAAATATGTTCTTGCCTTCTGGTTGTAACTCATTGTAATTAGTCGTGTTTTAAATTTATTAATAGATCCGTCAACGCGGTATTTCTTTTTAAGCACCAATTTGCATCCTATGGTTTTTATATTTTTTCAGTAGATCACATAACTCTCATACCTTATTCTTTTCTATAGAATCACGTTCTTCTCTCCTGACTTCTACCCATAAAGTTGATTCATGCGATTTCATCGCATCAGAGAAGATTAAGGAATCTTGTTCTTCTATATTTGTATCTATCGAGAAACAAGATGGCTCACATGAATAGAAATAGTAATCGTCCATCCATGGAGGTTATGTTCTTGCCTTTTTGTTGCCTACAACCGGTTGATGAGGTATATTTTTCATAGGTATTTCATCGTTTTTAAGGTTAGGTTAATTCATAATATCTGGATCATTAGTGGGAACAACACTGTAATAATCATCTATTTTAGTTAGATGCTCTGTTTCCTCTTGAACTTATTTCTCTCCTTTTAGATTCTCTAGAAATATAGTATCTCTGCTTGTAATAACCCCCTTTTTTATTGTAAAATTTATAACATTTTGACTTTTCTGAATACCCTATGAATTTATACTATTGTTTTAAAACCCAACCTATCTCTAAGTTGGTATGGAACGAGACATGGGCTATATAGATCTTCCCTTCCTGAGATGACTCAGATTAGGTTTTCTCCCATTTAATAACTTATAAAATGTAGATATAACTGACTTGGTAGAAATTCTATTCAAAATATAGTTTATAATTAACAATGTTTCTCCCTAAAATTTTTTTGAGAGACCAGAATGAGACAACATGTATCTAATTAAATTCAGTAATGTTTTGTTCTTTCTTTCCGCAACACCATTTTGTTATGGTGTATACGACATTGTTATATGTCTTTTAATTCCATCCTAAGTACAATAACTCTCAAATTCTTTAGAGTTATATTCCCCACCTATATCAGCTCTTAAAATTTTCATTTTCATTCCAAGTTGGTTTTTAACTTGTCTTATATCTCTTAAAACGTTCAAAAGCTTCTAATTTTCTAGAGATAAGATAGACGTGTGCAAAATCGGAATAATCATCTATAAAAGTAATAAAATTATGATTTTTGACATTTAGGAAATCATAAATATCTGAGTGTATCAACCCTAAAAGTTTATTGACTCTTTGTCAATCAATAAAAGGTTTCCTGGTCATTTTACCAGTTAAGCAATGTTCATACAGTAGTAACTGAACATTAGATAGTGTGGACAGTAAGTTTATGCTGATAATTTCTTTTATTTTTAAAATACTAGCATGTCCTAGTCTAGAATACCACAATTCAGATTCAGAAATATAACAAGACAAGTTTAAATTGAAAATTGTATTGTTAGAATTATTACAAACTACTGAAAGTATGCATAATTTATGCTCGAGTACATATTTTCTCATAGCATACACTTTATTTTTGCCTATAGAAATTCCTTTATTAGAGAACCTAACTTCCAGTCCTTTCTTCATCAAGGTAGGAACATAGATCACATTGCATCGAATTCCTCGCATGTAGAACACATCTTTGAGGACGAAAACAATGTCCCCAAGGTCCAATTTGTATGAACCAATACTTTCTACATCGAGATTTGTATTGTTTTCCATATAAATTATATGTTCTCCTCTCTTCAGCTCGATGAACTTTGTGACTCCGTTCTTCTCCTTTGCAATATGCCTTGTCGCACCGGAGTCGATTTAGCAACCCTTGAAATCTGTCATGGTAGTGTTGCATTTCATCACACAGACGAATTCTCTTTTACTTGTACCCCTTGTTCCTTATGCTTATAGCTTCCCTTATTCTCTTGCTTGTCATCTTGTGGGCAGACGGACATGAAATAATCGAACTTTCCACAATTATATTAAGCTCCGCGGGATACTTTTTTTTTTCTCTTAGACTGCTGCGATTTCAGTCCTTGTAATTGTGGTTTACTAGGATTAGGTTTTTTATAGCTTCCAGCATTATGCCTATAACAGACATAATTCATCTCCTGCTGCACTATGTTCAGTTTTGGTTCTTTCTTGTTGGCTATTAAGTCTTGTTCTAATGCTAGATGTATGGAAAGATCAGTGACAAATTTAATGACATGGTTCACTTTCAATGTGGTGGCAGTCATAGCAAGGTAAGGGGGAAGACTATTCAAAATGGTTGCTACTTGCATTCTTTTCAGGATTTTTGATCCTAACAGTATATAAGTCCTTAACCATGATAATCATCTTATTTATATGTTCTAGGACATTGTCTCCCTCTTGCATATGATAAGAATTATACTTATGCAAGACGAGTTGAATGTTAACTTTAGAGGCGGTGTTGTATTTTTCTTTTATAGCATTCCACATGTCTATGGAAGTCTAATAAGTTTCAGGAATTTTGATCAAGTTATCTTCTATAGACATGAGCATTAGACTTTTCACTTTTTGTCTTTCGACTTTCACTTCTCTAACCCTTTCTTTTCCTCATGTGTGGATTTATCAATAATGGTTGAAGTAGCAATTTCGATAACATCATCGATATTCTCTGAATAAGGGCATATCCTATTTTTCTATGTCACGTATTATAATTACTACAATTAAATTTGTCAATTTTTCTAATTCTGATAGAATGAGCTTACTAGTCATTTTGTTAAAGAACTAAAACTAAAGTTCTAGTTTTAAAATATGTATAAGATTGGTGTATTGACAAATATACTAAAAACAGATTGAGGTTAGATACAAAATAATAATAATAAAAGAAATAAATTAAAAGAACTGGCTGCGAAGAATTGATGGGGTCTAAGTGAAAGAAGCCGACTCCGGTTCATGCAAGCTCTTTGCCGAGTGGAGTTGATCAGAGAACTAACTGTTTAATCTGACTTGAAGATGATTGAATCGAGTATGGTTTTGCTTCGGATTGATCTGATTGGACTGACATTTGGGCTACAATAGCAACGTTTGGTTGTGATCAGGTCTGGATCGGAGACGACAATTTGAGAGCTCTGATTGGACTTGAAAACGGAAACAAGAAAGTGATAGGTCTATTTTGGAAAATGTTTTTGTGATTGACTAAAGGAGTTTCTTTGATAGATGATAGGAAAAAAAATACAATGAGCAGACACAAGTTTTGGTGTAAGAAGAAAGTAAGGAGTGCTTTGGGAAATGTGCTCTTCTTTTCAATAGACCCTTCTCTTTCTCGAATAGTAGGTAGGCTGGTTATTATGTATTGGATAGATAGTGGATCTTACTTCTCTTTGAATAAAAAGACTGATAGGATTTATTTTCTAGTGGATAAAAGAGATGGGAACGATCTCAGTGCTCTGATATCAGTTTGGGGATAAGATATGGTGTTTTTGATTTGGGGTTCCGGATAGAAACATCGGGTTTTTTCAGTGTGCATCTCAACAATGAGATCACTATTCCTTTTATAGAGATTTTTTAGTAACCACCTCCACCCCAAATCATATCAGCCTCTATGATTTTACTATACCCAACCATGAATCCCTCTTCTATAGATATTAAGGAGGTCATGCTAACAACCCAATAATATCTAAAGAATATTCCTTGGTTGGTTTGGTCAATAATAGACGGGGTCAAAATAACATTAGATAGAACTTTTGATATTCATGGAAGTCTTATGAACAAGAGATAGCCATTGTGCCATAATGCCATTAGTTATCTGCTGGGTTTGTAACATGCATTTCTGTAATTGCTCTTACATTCTATTCTAGATGAATATTTTTTACCTTTGCTGATAGTATTAGATAGTATAAATAATTCTTTTTCATTGTTGTTTTGAAACTCGGCCAGTGATTTTTAAAGGAGTGATTCATATACATTAGAACTTGCTGACGCTTCTTTTTGAGTACAGATGCTGAGCCACCATGCTCCAGCTGTGAAACGAGCTCAGTAAAGTATGTTAGAGGAGGTATGTGTGAACAAATCTGCACAGCATGTGTTTAGACTGCTATGTATTGTCCATCAATTTTGACAATGATAACACTGGTTCTGCAGTTCCCGTTCAACTTGGTAGAACACGATCTCTCGTAGAGACCTGGGAGAAGGGAGAACGACGTGACAGCAGTCACACTGCTGCAGTTAATTCTTGCTCTGAGCAAATAAAGACACTTGAAAACGCACCACCTGAATCGGTATGCTGCTTACTGCAACTTTTCCCACGTAAAATGCATGTTTTCCTATGTTACATTTTGGATTTTCCAGGTTGCATTATTCTGGTTTCTCTATTGGAAGTATCTCATAGGTGGTTTTTAGATCATGCTAAACGAATTCAACTTTTAGGTAATTAGCTCTATGGCACGTCAGATGCATGTGCATTTTAAGTAAAAATATTGATTCTGTAGTGTTTTATTTGCAAACCATTTTGGGAAAATGAAATACTGGTGATTGAATTTGGGAAAATGAAATACTGGTGACTGACTTTTTTCATGCAGCAGTCATCATTATTGAGGGGTTACAAGTTTCAAAGACAACAGCCCCACAAGAAGTTGAAAATTATATATTCTGTAAATCTTCAATGGGAATCCAATAAATCATCAATTCAGCATCGAACCGTTAAAATAAGATATTGAGGGTTGGGTGATTTTTCTTTTTGTCTAAAAAGGACCTCTATATTGATATGCAATATTATCTTTAAATATGTAGGATACTTTCCTAAGTAAAGATTGGCATGTTCACCAGACCATGTATGCCTAGCCATGCCTTGGTGCTTACAAAGTGTAAACTGTTTTTTCACTTGAAACTATGTATAAGATGAATATGTTGTGCCCCCTTTTTAAAACTACGAATTGTTTTCGTATATTTTGACTAAAATTAATTATGTTCTATGATTTATAAATGATGACCAAATGCATGTATTTATATGATTGGCACACACATGTATCAAGAAATTGACATATTATCCTTCGACTTTGTGTCTGCATTTAGGCAGTTTGCATGCGGGGTACCTCGTGTCACTATTGGATTACAACAGTCGTCTATGCAAACATTTATTGGATCAATATATTTAGGGAACTTTTAATCTCAATAAAGCTTGTTAAGTATGATGGTCTTAACCCATAACTTCTGTTCTAAGTTAACTGAATAGTAAGCTACACGAAATCAATTCCAACCCTTGATTCCTTTGATGCTATTATTACACATTATACATATGTCTGATAAATAAGTCAAAAACAGATTTATTGAATTTATAATTTAAATTATTCGTGAAAGTGAGATTATTAATTCAAATACGATCTGTCTAAGATTTACTGTCAAGCCAAATATTCCATTATACAAAAATTCATCATGGTCCAAACTGGCTTAATTGATTATGCAAAAACACTGAGAAGATCAAAAACCATCTTTACCTTTTACCAGGGTAATTAATTTTATGTTGCATTTTCAGGTTCATAGTTTATCTCATTTTGAACTTATTATATCCGTTAGTACTGGAAAAGAGGGGAAGAAACTATTTTTTGCTTTCATCTGTAGATTATTGTACAGTGAACTGACATTTAGCATACAACAGACTGGAGAAACTCCTATGACCACAAAAGAGATAAAAGCATATGGGGATTTTAGTTGTGAAGATGTACTGCAAGGTCATGATGTATTTATAAACAATGTAAAGTCTCGTCTAACAAAGTTACAGGTAATCTTCAGTCCCTTAATATTTTGCTTGCTAATTCTTTATTCTAGAAATTTGCAATTTTACTATGCTCTACTATAGGGCAGCAATCCATGGAAGATGGTAATTGTTATTCGAAGTAATTATGAGTTAACTATGCGGAATTACTTAGTGTTTTGTGTTTCATATTCGTCAACTTACTATTTTAGCTACTCCTATGTAGCTGCAACTGGTGATGACCACAATTTCTTTCTGAGTTCGATAATTCTTTCACTTGTTTGTAACTTTTTTTCAGCTGTCGCTATTTCCATATTTTATGCTCTTAGTACTGTCAGTAGCAATCAATATCCGTCCATGTTTATATTATCTGTCATAAATAAAAAAAAGAACCAGGTTATCTTCCGAATAAGTCCTCTGGGAGAAATGAAAAGAGTTCTGTACATGGGCTTAGTGGCTAAACCAAAGACTTGGATTGAAGGGGTTTATGAAGGGTTTGTCCTACAAGTTATTTGGTTAATGCTTTTCGAATTTGAGTCGAATGGGTTTTGAGACACGGTTACACTACTCACTTTGAGGTGTTTGGTGTTTATTAGCTGTTTATCTTAAGAAAAAAGTTGCTGCATTGGTCTAATGATGTACTCAAGTGTCTAGGCTGTTGGGTAACTGACCACTTGGTTTGGGTTTACTAATTTTCATCCATTATAGTATTATACACATCTGAATATTTGCGGATACTTACACAGGCCATCTGGTTATCTAAATAGTGACAAGCCAACAACAGCTTGGTTTAATGGAGATGAAAAGAGCTAGTGTAGTTTTGCTTTCTTGTATTATCTTTCTATATAGCTAGTTATCATCTCTTGCATCCTGCATCTGTTTTCTTCTGGGGGACACAGGCGATGACTGTTAAGACGCTGAACCAGAAAAATAGGATCAATGTGTGTCTCCTAAAAGTTGGGAATAATGCTTGTTCATTCTTCTTAGTTTTTTCAACTTGTTTCGTTGTCAATGCTGAGGGTGAGAAAAATTCTGTCTTCTTATTAGTAATTACATGAAGTTCAGAGAGTTTCACTAATATTCACTGCATATATTTGTGACATATTTGTACTGTCATAAGCATTTGATGTGCTGTAGCAGTAAATTGTACTGACTAAATACTTTTAGGTGGTGCGGCATTTTTGGGAATGTAATGGCATTAAAAGTGCAATTGATGCAGTGGTGAAATTACCTGACTACTCTGTGGGTATTATTTCACAACATATATTTGGCTGTATTGTTTTTGGATTTGAGCATTTCCCTATAATTCCTACTGCTTTATTTAGATTTACATGTGCTATAAATGATCTTTGTCGTAAAATGCCACGTGCAGGTTCAGGTTGATGTAATTAGTGTTCTCCTGGAAAAAGTCGACCTCTTCACACTTGATATTTTCTCATGCTTGCTGCCTCTGCTTTTAGGCTTACTAAACAGCAAAGCTGACAGGTAAAATTGAAAGAAGCCCCTAACAGATGCATTATCTAAAAAAACATATCTGAAATACCTGATATTATATCAAATCATTACATAAAGAGGAGAAATTTAATGATTTTTTTCTTCCAAGTTTCTACAAGACTATTGCAGAACTGAAAATAAAATCTCAATCTTCTAGTGATTATGCTATAGATCAGCCCCGTGTATTTCATAAAAAAGGAACTCTTTATGAAATGAGGTTACAATGTTGCCTAGATTACTTTTGGAACTACAAATGCTATATATTTATGTATTTCCACTAACATATGTGTGGGTCCCTCTTTGGAAATTGTCAAAACAATTGCGCGTCACTCTTTTGTTTGTGGTAGAACACAAGTATGTGAGACGAGCAAAAGTTCATTATTTTATGTCAAATGGTACCTAAGAGGCCCAAAAAAATCCCTGTTGGAGTTATGGGATTTCATTCTTTTGCCATATTGTTAAATGGACCAACTCAAAAACAATTGAATGATGACACAATCCCTCCTAGAAGTATCTGTTCCTTTCATTTATGCCGTCCTTACTTTGTATCCTCTTACATTGTTTTTGTGTCCATTAAAATCAAGCCTACTGTGTAGACATTCATAAACTGATCTACCATAGTTTTTTTTGGATAATCCCAATCTGCGAATTGAGATGGTTCTAATGTTAACTTACCGGCTACTTGTTTCATGGCTTCAAATTGAGCTCTGCAAATCCTGCTCTGGAAACAAAAACACCTACATAAATAGCGGGTTAAAGTCCCGCATTGAATAAATCAGCGAAGAGGAATATTTGTCCATCTGAAATTACATTAATAGGAATGTAAGCCGAAATGTGTCCAAGAGGTTGGTTCACTTTTGGGCATGCTACTTTTGCTTTGCTCTTATCTATATAGAGTGGGGATGCAATTATTACCACTCTTATTTTTTTGGTGCTTCTCTTCCTTGCTCAGTTTAGCTCTGTAGATGAAACTATCTGGCACTACTTAATAACTCATGGCTTAATGGTCGCTGCATTACTGTATATGGATGGAGTTCCACTCGCAGCACATTAGCTTATAGTTCAAACTTGCAGGCATGTTACTGTCTCCTTGGAACTGCTGTTTGAGCTCGTTAAAAGATTTGGACAAATTATACAATCAACCATCTCAGCTTCTTCATCAGTAGGAGTTGATCTTCAGGCGGAGCAGAGGTATTCCTATCAATATGTTTTACTTGTTTGCATTAAAATAAAGGTTTTTTGGTTGCATGAATTGACCTTCATGTGAATGTGGATCACAGATTGGAGCGTTGTAAACAATGTTACACGTATTTGCTAAAGATAAAGCAAATTCTCTCCTTGCTTATCAGGTAAGAAATAGATGAAACAGCATATATTTTTTAAGTAATTCGGTAGAATAAGTGTTCCGAAGTAAGATGGCCTTTACTGTTTCTGTTTGTGTAGGCTTTGGCTTTGTTACTTCCTTTCAATTAAGCATGACTTATGATTAGGAATCAGTTGGCATACCATATTTGTACCTTTGTGTTGGCTAATATATCTGTTATCACTCGATTGAGTTGCAGAAAGGCTTGGTAGAATTGGTACAGGTGTTGCTATATGTACAATAGCAAAATTTTGGAAGTATAAATAAAAGAGAATAAAGATTGCGAAACAACAAAGAAAATGGGTCTAGGAAGGAAAACAATACAGGAAGCAAATACTGACAAAATCAAAATAATCGATACGACAAAAGTGAATTAGCGAGCGAGAAAACACATGCCAAAAAAATGAAATGGAAGTAAATTGTTTGAAGAAATAGTTGTGCCCAAGGTGAATTAAGTGAAAGAAGCCACATGCAGGAAGAGTACAGAGTTAATAAGCAAGGGAAGCAATTACGTACATGAAAGTGAAGAAAGAATAGAGTAAATATGTAGAAATAAATTTTAGGAAAATACATGTGCCATAAGGGCCAAGCAGGAGAATTTGGTTTCATTTAACTAAGAGTGGTCTGAATAGTGCTTAAATGCCTTACAGTGTCATCATCTTTGCACCTTACCCTAACTTGATTGTTATAGCACTTCTATACCTAAGTTGTTGACTGTTAGAATAGGAATAACGGCATTAAAATTGTCATGTAAAGTCCAGAACCCCCCTCTGTTAATATAAACTACCAAAGGTTAAAAAAACCCAGTTTCAGTTTTTACCTCTCTCTTCCTCAAAGATCAATAGCGCTCTAAATTTGAATGAATTTTCCTGTTCAATTGCGATTTAAACTGACGTGCCCATTGTGTGCAGTTTGGATTTTTGTTAATTTTTACTGGGTTTCAAAATTTTACATAAATATGACGAGCAAACAAACTTTATTTCTTCATGCATACTTGAGTTACGCCTGCTACAAAAATACTGAATTTACACATAACTTCATTTTTACATACTTCATTTCAAACAATACAATTTCAGCTAAATTTAACCACAAATACAAAACAAATAAGAACACCAAGCACCCAAAATTTTCTTCTACATAAACATTTTCCCAACTTCAATTTATCCTCTTTGTCTCTCAAATAAGCCTCATCTCTTGAACTTGAAGAACAACTAGAAGCTCAGGAGGCCGATTTCATCTTTGCCTGCAAAGAAATGGGGAGTACGAGAGAATTTGGGAATTTAGATAAAAAATAAGCTTAACAAATTAATAAATAGACTGGGGTTGTGGTACCCCAAATAGTCTCACATCGGGAAAACTATAGGACTTTGAATGGTTTAAATAGTGAAGTCAAACGGTTCAAGAGCAACTAGTGCTAGCACATTTTGGCAGTGGATTGAGTCAAACAATGAGTTGCTCTCAATGGGTCTAACAACTTATAGCGCGCCAATAGGGTCGCGGCATGACAAGGGTAAGTAAAACTGTAAAATATAACAATCAATGAGGGTAAAAGGAATTTAAAATTGGTATGTGACCAGCTGATGTGGATATGCTAAGGAGCATTCTCATGTTCAAGTAATAGGAGGCGCTAGCGTGTCATTTGTTGGGGACTGGGGAGTAATTACAATCAACCTAGAGTTAATGGGCCCAAAAGCTTAAGTTGTTAGGTATTGGCCTCAACTCCTATTTAAACCCGATTCTCTTTCTTATCCTATCCGATGTCCTCCTCATGACAAGCCAACTATTCTCGGATGTTACCGTATGTGGATTTTCCACCACACGTGCACTAAGTGTGTCCACAATCAACTTCTCGTCACCTTCAAGTGCACATTGGACTTCACTTTTGCTTAGGCCATAATCTTGGCTCTGATACCAGTTGTGAGGAGTAATGAGGCCCAACCTAGAGTTAATGAGACTTAATAGAGGCTAGGAACCAATTTTATCCCAAAAGCTTAGGCTGTTGGGTCCTCAATTCTTATTTAACCCACCATTTTCTTATCCTATCAATTGCTAATAGAAACCCTAATTCCATAGATAAGATAGCATGGGCTTATATAGGCCCTACAAACACATTTTACAAATAAGACCCTTAACTATACTAATATGTCAACACTCCTTCTCAAGATGGGCGAAAGATATCCACTAAGCCCATCTTGTCACATCCTCTAATCATATCTATTGAGTTAAGTCCCTTAGTCAGACAATCTGCTGCCTGGTCTTTAGTTGAAACATGTCTTAACTCCAATAGTCCATTGTCCAACTTCTCTTTGATAAAAAACCTATCGATCTCGATGTGTTTGGTTCTATCATGTTGTACTGGGTTATTGGCGATACTGATGGCTGACTTGTTATCACACCAAAGTTTCATCTTTGCTCCTTGATCCAGTTTCAGCTCCACCAGCATACTCTTCAACCACAATAACTCCGCAACTCCCAAGGCCATGGCTCTATACTCTGCTTCAGCTGTTGATCTTGCTACCACCGATTGCTTCTTGCTCTTTCACGAGACCAAGTTGCCTCCTATAAAGATACAATATCCTGAGGTGGATCTCCTGTCATCAGCACAGCTAGCCCAATCAGAGTCGCAATAACCTTCGATGCTCACATGTCCATTCTTTCTGAATATCAGCCCCTTTCTGGGGGCACTCTTCAAATATCTCAGAATCTGGTACACAGCGTCCATATGACCCTTCCTCGGATCGTGCATGTAGCGACTCACCACGCTCACTGCAAAAGAGATATCGGGACGAGTGTGACTCAGATAGATCAATCTGCCCACCAGCCTTTGGTATCTATCACGATCAACTGGTTCTCCAGCTTCAGCACCCAGCTTAAACTTCTGGTCGATCGGTGTAGTTGCAGGTTTGCACCCTAACATCCCTGTCTCTTTGAGAAGATCCAGTGCATACTTTCTCTGGGATAGGACGGTCCCCTCCGCTCCTCGAGCTATCTCTATTCCAAGAAAGTATCGAAGCAAGCCAAGATCTTTCACCTCGAATTCCTTACCCAGTCTCACTTTGAGTTGGGCAATCTCCTTCTCATCATCCCCTGTAATAATCATATCATCCACATATACTGCAAGCATGGTGATGTGACCTTCACTCCGTCGAAAGAACACGGTATGATCGGCATTAATCTGATGGTATCCCATACCTATCATAGCCTGCCTGAATCTGTCGAACCAAGCACGAGGAGATTGCTTCAAGCCATAGAGAGACTTTTTTAATCTGCAAACCTTTCCCACTGTCTGCTCTGTACCGAATCCTGGTGGTATCTCCATGTATACCTCATCCACTATATCTCCATGAAGAAATGCGTTCTTCACATCTAGTTGGTGTAGCTTTCATCCATCATTTACTGCCAGAGAGATTAAGGTCCGAACAATGCTCATCTTTGCCACCGGTGCAAAAGTCTCATCATAATCGATGCCATATGTCTGACTATACCCTTTTGCCACAAGACGAGCCTTGTAGCGTTCAACTTGCCCATCTGGATTCTGCTTCACAGTGAAGACCCACTTACATCCAACTGCTCGCTTTCCTTCTGGTAGTTTTATTAGCTCCCAAGTACGGTTCTTCTCAAGAGCCCCTAACTCCTCGTGCATAGCCGCTTTCCATTTTGGGTCCTTCTTAGCAACCTGCCAATTGTTAGGTACAGTAACAGAGTCCAATGATGCAATGAATGCCCCATGTGCAGGGTGGATGTTAGAATATGATACAAATTGGGCAAGATCCCAACCATATCTATCGGGAGGATTTCCCGCATTACTACGAGTAGTCCTAGGAGTAGGGAGAGGAATGTTATCAGTAGGGAGAGGAATGTTATCACCTTGGGATAAAACTGGTGGTGGTGTAGGTGTTTCAGGAGTCGGGGCAGGCGTTGGCAAGAGACTCGGCAGCACTAGTGGCACTGTAGGTACTGTTCCTGCAATTTGCTTGCCCTTCCTACTATAGGTTAATAGTTCCCCCTGAACAGTGGGCCTAACACCTCTTGTCTCATTTTTCTTTTCTTCGTCATTCTCCTGCTCCTCAACCAATTCTCCTTCCCAAGGAATCGATACAGAAATGAATTTCTCCACATTGTTCACCGATCTCTCACTATTCTCCTCCTCTCGCCTCATACTTCTAGTATTAGGCGAGTTACTAGCGGATGAAGTTACCTTCTGGGTGTAATACGGCTCGAGTTCTCGAAAGTGCACATCCATGCTCACAAACAACCTTTTCTCCACCGGGCTCCAGCAAACATATCCCTTCTGAGTAGCAGAATATCCCACAAAGATGCATTTCACAGCTCTAGGGGCAAGCTTCCCGACAGATGGCCTGTTGTCCTTCACAAAGCACACACAGCCAAACACTTTAAGTGGAAGAATCCCACCATTATCTCCCTTCAATATCTCACACGTAGACTTCCAATCCAGCACTCTCGAGGGCATTCTGTTGATCAGCGCTGCTGCGGTTAATACTGCTTGTCCCCATAATGTTTCTGGGACATTCATAGAGATCATCATGCTTCTAGCAACCTCTAAAAGATGTCGGTTCTTCCTTTCCGCTACCCCATTCTGAGCTGGTGTGTATGGACAGGTAGTCTGGTGATGTATTCCTTGAGCTGACAAATATTCTTCAAACGTTCTGTTGATATACTCTGTCCCATTATCTGACCTCAATACTTTCACCATTGCTCCGTATTGAGTCTGAACAGTCCTATGAAAGTTTTGAAAGCACCCAAACACATCACTCTTATTCTTCATCAGGTATAGCCAAGTAACACGAGAGAAGCAATCAATAAATGTAACAAAATATTTGTATTCATTCATAGAACTTGTGAAACAAGGCCCCCAAACGTCTGAATGTACCAAGTCAAATGCATGAGAACTTCTATGACCAGAACTAACATAAGAGCTTCTAGTAAGCTTTCCAAACTCACATGCATCACACACAAGTTTCTGTTTATTTGCTTTCTCAAATAAAGAAGGATACAATCTACCTAAAACACTAAAGGATGAGTGTCCCAAACGCTGGTGATGAAGCATTAACTCATTTTCAGCACTCATTTTAGATCCTACTCCTGCTTCCTCTATGACTGACACCAATGCTGAATCCAGCCCTTCACGATCCAGATACCACAGTCCACTATGCCATGTGCCAGTCCTAAGTCTCCGTCCTATCCCCTTCTCCTGGAAAATCACCTTGGGAATATCAAAAGAAACAATGCATTTTAGTTGAAGGATGATAGAACTAATGGACAAAAGATTGACTGAAAAGGAAGGAGCATGCAAAACATTGGACAAAGTTACAGAACCAGTACAATCAACTGTACCCTTACCAACCACAGGCTGAAATGTACCATCAGCTGTTTGAATACTATCAGGCGATGCTAAGTGAGTATATGATGAGAACTCACTAGCATTACCTGTCACATGACGAGACGCACCGAAGTCGACTATCCACGCTGATGATCTGTCAGGAGACATAGAAGCAAGAGCATGTATGTCATTAGTACCTTTGGTCGGATGAGCATAGGTAGCAGTATTGCCTCTGGCGAAGAACGAAGTGGATGCCTCCTCAGTTCCATCATCTGCTACTTGCTGCTTCTTCCTTAGTATCGCCAGGAGAGCACGATCCTCCTCAGTAAAGACCACCTCAGCTTCCTCTTCCTCTGCTACCGTCAGATTTGCCTGGTTCCCTACTCCTCTTCCTCCTCGTCGACCCCCACGGCCACGACCACGACTTCCGAACTGTCCACGTCCACCCGAATCTCTTTCTTTGGGTGGCTTGGTGCAAGCATGCCTTAAATGACCTACCGCACCACATTTGTAGCACTGTCGAGTCTCTCTCCTAGATCCAGTATTATTAGAGGCTGTCAGTGCTGACTTCACCACAGGAAGTCCACCTGTCCCCGCCTGTAGCCTAATGCGAGTCTCCTCCTGGATCATAGCCGAGACAGCCTCCTCAAGTGTGGGAATTTTCGGCTGAGCTAGCAGTAATGCGATTCGCTGAGCGAACTCTGATGCCAATCCCTTGAGAAACACCATAGTCCTCTCCTGTAGAAAGGCCTCCCGCTCTTTACATCCCGGGTCCTTGCAGCTAGCCCGGGGAGAAAAATGATCATAATCCAGCCACAGGCGCTCCAGCTCTGTAGCATATTCCTGTACAGTCCTCTCTCCCTGGACTGTGGCGTCGATCTCTCCTTTGATCTGGAACACCCTCAGGTTATTCCCCACTCCATCATATGCCCTCTTCAACTTCTGCCAGACGTCCTTCACCTTCTCAATGCCATCCACCGTGGCCTTCCATTCATCCCTTCTCTCCGAGTCCTCCTCCGGCCCTGTCACCTCTCCTGTCAGATAACCCTCCAGATTCCTCCCTGCAAGGGTGTATCTCACCCGCCTCGACCAGCTCAGGTAAGTACTCGGTCCATCAAGCTTCAGATCGATGGTCGGAAGCTCCAACTTCTTCGATGGTTTCGTCGCGCTCCTTCCAGCCGACAACTTCATTAGCTTCATCAAGGTTGACACCTCCGCGGGGTTCAACTTCTTGATGATCTTCTCCATCGAATAGGCTTCAGTCCCACCACCTGTTCACCTTCTCTGCCGACCCTTGTTGTGTGCAGTGAAAATTTCGGCAGCACCTCTGTTGCACAACAAGAGTGGGATCTCAAACAAATTCTTGTTTCTCAGAGGAAACAAGAACCAAAAATAGTTATATACCTCATCGATGTGAGATATATACTCTTCCTGTCATCAGTTCGAGGACTGAGTCGAGGGAATCCATGTCAAACTCGAGGTTCGACATAGCGCAGCAAGGGGCTCGAGGTGGCAGCGGCTAGATGGTGGTTTGGAGGAGGTCGGGGTCAGGGGGGGTCAAAGGGGGTTCGGGTTGGTCTCGGTCAGGTGGGGAGATCAGGGGTTGTTCGGGTCGGTCAGGTGGGGAGATCAGGTCGGTTTTGGTGGCTCTGATACCATATAGAAAATAAAAACCCTAATTCCATAGATAAGATAGCATGGGCTTATATAGGCCCTACAAACACATTTTACAAATAAGACCCTTAACTATACTAATATGTCAACACTATCCGATGTGAGACTATACTCACATATGAATTCTTAACACCATCTTTAGACAATTTAGAGTATATAAGTGCTATAAGAACGCAGAAAGGTAAATTGGAGGTGAAACTATATGGTAGTTCAGAAATATTTAACTATAAGAACGCAGAAAGGTAAATGGAGCAAGAAGTAAAACAGGCAGAAGGAAGATCAACAAGTGGTTTCTGAAGCTGAATGTGACGAGTTGAGTAGATTATCTGGCCACTTAAATTTATAGCTTTTCTCAAAAAATACACTTTATGAATAAATTTGACTGATTTTAACATGATATGAAGTCCTACGGTCCACTGTCTTAAATATTTAGTTTGACAATTGCCATTTTCTTTGGTGTGTTTGATGCAGGAATGGTGGGTTGGTGGCAAAACCTGCTCAGAAACTATATGTAGCTCTGAGTGATTTGTGACGGTGAATGCGTTCCAACTAACCATCCCCTACAGCTCAAAGTTCAAGTATATAAACCCATAGTCCTAGCAAAGTTTTCGCCTCTTGAAATCCTGAAGCTTATTTTTCAAGAAGCTGTGTATTGTCAATTTTTGTAGCCATCATTATAGGTAGCTTTGTTGTAACTTCTGTTAGACAAGTATCAGTGAAAAAACTTCACTCTTTCTCCGGCTATTCTATCTTGTTCCTTGTGGCAATTGTTGTCATATTTCTCAAGCAGTTACTATGTAACACCCTGACGTTATATGAGTAAATGTTTTAACCGATTGTATGCAAAGAGAGATTCTTAAGCACTTTTGTTGTTCTACTCAATATGAATTATAGAGTTAAGCATCTTTGACAGGATGTAGTTATGAGATTATGTGTTATGGTTATTTTTCTTGAGTTGTAAACAATTGTCTCTTATATCTTAATTTAGAAATAAATCAAAATATTGCTCCCCTTAGTAAAAGGTGGGTTAGCCCCTTAATAGGAGGGTTAGCGCTTTATTGGATGTTAATAAATGGGGATGGTGGAGCACGCTTTGTTGATAACAGTGTATTGTAGTAGGTTTTAGTTTCACATTGGTTGTGACACGCCTCTATCCTCCTCTACTTGTATAAAATATGTGTACACTCAATATTCAATTTAAGGAAAAATTTAGCGAAGACTCTCTCTCTTACTTTAACATGGTATCAAAGCTAGCATTATTATTTTTCTTCCAATAAATTTTTTTAATGCTTTTGTGGGTTTTTTTTTCCAAATCTTGGTTTTGCTGCTTTGTAGTCGTTTAATGCTTTATTGTGTTCCTCTGCCAGATTTTTGGCATTGTCGCTTTGTGACCTCTTAACGTATTTCGCGTTCTCGTTTAACCTTCGGGTTCCATTTTAATCTTTGTGGCCTCTTAACGCATTTCGCGTTCTCGTTTAACCTTTGGGTTCCATTTTAATCTTCGGGGGTTATATTTTAAACCTTTAGGTTTTATTTTAACCTTCGGGTTTTATTTTAACGGGATTGTCATTTCAAGATCATCTCTTGATCTTAAATTTATGGCATAGTCGTTTTTCAAGACCATCTCTCGGTCTCAAATTAACGGCATCGTCGTTTTACGCTGTTTCTCGGGCTCAAACAAACGACATTGTCGTTTCACAGTCAGTTACAACATCGCCGTTTCAATCCATCTCGACATCTCAACGTCTCAACATCGGCATTAATCCGTTGTAGGTCTCCAGTGTGAGCATCAGATCTGACTGATCTTCAGGCCACCTTGGTCGCCGGTTGCTTCTTTTTTCTCAGATTTGACAGTCATTTTAACCTTCGGGTTTCTACATTAACCTTTGGGTTCTCCTTTAAACATTCGGGTTTCGTTCAAGGATTTCGGGTTTCTACATTAACCTTTGGGTTCTCCTTTAAACATTCGGGTTTCGTTCAAGGATTATTATCTTGAACTTTGAATTGTTCGGGTTTCGTTCAAGGATTATTATCTTGAACTTTGAATTGCTGCTATTATGGCCTCTTCACTGGCACCTGTTTCTCAGGCTCGATCTAAACTCTTTTGTACCTATTGCAAGAAGGATGGACACCGTTTTGAAACATGTTTCCAGCTTCATCATGAGTTACGTTCCTCAGGAACTGGCTGTAGTCAGTGATCCCCTCAGTCCCGATCCTCTAGTGCATTAGGATTACCGGTCAATGCTATGTCATCTACCACTTCAGACCCTACCATTCAAGCTATTGCAAATATTAGCCGTCAAATTGCAGCTCTTCAGCATACCACCTCTCCATTTGCTGCAAAACTCTCTGATATTCGTCGTTAAATTGAGGCTCTTCAAGCTATTGCAAATATTAGCCATCAAATTGTGGCTCTTCAGCATACCACCTCTCCATCTGCTGCACAACTCTCTGATATTCGCCATCAAATTGATGCTCTTCAGCATAGAGCCTCTACATCTACTGTACAACTCTCTGGTATGCGTCTTGTTGGTTCTTCAGCCAACCCTTCGGTCTTTGGTATGAAAGATCTCTGGATTTTTTACTCTGGTTGTTCCTTTCATATGACTCGTAATGTCTCCTTCTTATCTTCTGTCTTTACTTTCCTCTTCTTTTCCCCTTATCTACACGGCTGTTGAACAACCTTTGTCTATCACTCAGGATGGCTCTATCACCCCCACAAACTAACACATCTGATCATCTAACTCTTGGCCATGTCTATGTGGCTCCTCAGTTGTGTTTGAATTTAATTTTTGTTAACTCATTATGTATGGATGGCCTACTTGTCTCATTTTCTTCTAACACTTGTATTGTACAGGATCCACAAATGGGCAAGACTGTTAGGGCCGGTCGGAGGAGATACAAACTGTATTTTCTAGAATATCTTTACCTTTCAGAGTCCATACGTCCACGTTCTCTTATTGCTTCTGTAAGTCCAAAATCCTCTACCTTGCTTTTCGCAGATTTGTGGCATAGACTACTTGGTCATGTGTCTCATAAAAGGCTAGAAAGTCTTATCCAGTCCGGAGTACTTGGTCTCGTATCCTCTCGTTCTCATATTGAGTCATGTACTGGTTGTAAATTGGTAAAATTCACTATTCTACCATTTCCAACCAGTACATTTGTTTCAATTTCCTTATTTAATTTGATTCATTCTGATATCTGAGGGCCAGCTCGTCTGCCTTCTTCATCTGACTACTTATATTATGTTAGTTTTATCGATGATTTCTCTCATTATACATGGGTCTACCTACTTAAAACTCGCTCTGGCGTACTTGCTGCTTATTAAGCCTTCACTACAACGATCTTCACTCAATGGCAAACTCGTATTAAAGTTTTTCGTTCTGACTGTGCCAAAGAGTACCTATCCTCTACCATACGCTCTATCATGTCCTCTCATGGGATTATCTTTCAACAATCATGTCCCTACACTCATGAGCAAAATAGTATTGCTGAACGCCAACATCGTCATATTTTCGATACCGCTCGATCCATGCTCATTTCTTACTCTGTTGCTCGTCGTTTCTGGGTTGAGGTTGTTAGATATAGGTGCCCTGCAGGCAATAATTGTATATTATAACAGGACCTATATGAATATAACATCATTATTCTAAATAATAGTATGCTATTTTGGTCAGATTTATCTGGTATTTTTTAAATACAGATAAAGTCCTTAGAATGATACTAGACTATCAAATATTTCGGATATGATCGTAATGAAGAGATCTGATTTGTCGCTAACGTATATTCTAAAATGTTCCTAGTCGATGAAGTGTTGAAATAGGACATCATCACTTTGGTAAGACTAGTGTATACTTTATTTCTTCTTTGGAAGGATGATGATCCATCTCTTAGATCATTGATGTGAGACATCAATATATAGTATACAGGTGACTCATTAGTGAATGAGTTGACTGAACGACTCACTGAGAACATCTAGTTGGTAATTATACTTAACTGTCAAATAGTAGTTCTCAAGTGATATAGTACAAAGTAGTCTTTTGACCTGAGTCATGAGTACAATATCTTACATGTCAGTATAGGTGTACTTAGACTTTTACCTAACCACAGTTCTTTTCGAGTTGTGCATAACGGTTCTTGTTGGATACATCCCGAGGCATAAGTAGATATTGAGATGCTAATATGGGATTCGTCTCTCCCAGTATAGGGGGTTAATGTCATAAGATTGTATGATATAACTATAACCTGGAAATCCTTGGCCGAGGTAAATAAGATAAACGGAGTGTTAGTTTGATCTTATAGGTTATGAGTTCAATATCTACAAACACTAATTGAGCAATTAGGGTTTGACAGTTTTCCATACTGATAGGCAAAATCCGCAAGCGCACGGATTCGTTGTAGCTATCAAGGTCGATCCCACAAGGACTAAGGTTAATTACCAAATCTCACGTTATTTGACTAGCTAAATCAATGAGTAAATTAGAAGAGATTTAATAAAAGAAATAAAATAAACAACTAATCGGATGGAATTCAATATAATGAAGGACTAGGATTGGGTTATCACCACAACTTAGGTGTTCAATGATGGATTATTTCAATTCTTGGTGTTGGTTTAATCTAGAAAGGGTGAATTAGCCTAAATTAATCTAAAGCCTCTTTCAAGGTCTAAAGATCGTGCCTAATCAATCTCAATTAACCTACTTTCATGGAATCAAGATTAAATTAAACTCATTAAGCTTTATGCTAATCCAAATCAAATCCCCAAGGAATCTAGCCTACTTTCGTGGTTCGAGCTCCCTGCTTAATTTCTAGAGATCCGGTATTAATCTTCACCTTTCAGTCCTTCAATTAATTACCTATGATTGCTAATACGGTGATCAAGCGAATCAACAAAATTAAAACACTAGAAATCAAGTTCAAAGATTTAAACTTTCACCAAGAACCTATATCAATTCATCATCAATCACCAAAAAGTTGGGTTCTTTCCCAACCCTAGACAAGAAATCTACTCACACATGATTGGAATAAGAGAAGACATCAAATAATTATGCAAATCAATCATAAGAAGAAATAAATCAAAGAGAGGAAAGAATTAACCCGTCTTTCAATTGAAATCTTCAAAATAAGAACTTGCAATCCAATCTTCTACAAGAGATTAATGTCTTCCTTCAATACTTGAACCCTAGAATAGTTGCTAGTTGATGGCTAAAAGAACATAACAAAAGATATCCAAAACCCTAAGTCAAAACATCTATTTATATGTCCCTAAAAATCTGGAAAATAACTAATTTCCGCGCCACAGGTGCGGTCTGCACCACACCAGGGTGTGGTAGGGGCTGTTTTGCTGATTTTGTGCTTGTTTCTTCAGTTTTCGGTATTTTGGCTATAACTTTTGCGTCCGACCTCGGAATGAGGTGATTCAAGTTGCATTGGAATCCTGTTGAAGAGATCTACAACTTTCATCTTTTGAGTTTTTCTTGATTCAAACTGCATCATGGTCGAAATTCCAGTTCTTCATACTCGTGCATCCATTTTCTTCACTAACCATGCCTTCGAAATGTTGTTGTTGCTTCAAACTCTTGTAAAACTTCCAATGATCATCAAATCTTTCAATCTTGAGCCAATACCTACATATAAGAACACAAACAACAGCAGTATCCTCGATCTAAACACGAAATATGCATTAAACACTCGTAAATCATGCTTAAAACACACTAAGATAATACATATTTTACGTGTTTATCACATACCCTAGGCTTAATAGTTTGATATGGTTTGACGAAAAGACCGGACTGTACGGCATTATCACTGAGTGGTCATGATAAATTGTGTAAGCATCTTGCAGACATTTATCACAACTTAT